ACAACCAAACCAGGCTCACTGAACTTGCGTGTGCAGTAACTAACCAGCAAGCAACCGTAACCTTTTGTGAATCATTAACCACACTCAGAATTCCTCTGGAATGAACGGAAGAACCCAGACATTCGAAATAAGAATCGTGCAATACCGTTTAACGACCTGTGCGTTTCATAGGACTAGTATTGAGTTGAGGAAAGTCACCTGCAGCTGCACGCTGCTTCAACTTACACCCCCCATAACTAAGAAGGTGGTTCGGTCAAAGTAGCTCAATAAGTGTTTGCCGGCACATGGCACTTACATATGTTCCGTTCAATGTTCAGCGACCACTCAGACTTCATCGTTTGTCTTTATGAAATTAGTGGAACCCGCGGTTGACACCGTCGACGATGGTACGGACGACGTCAACGACGACAATGACGCGGAGGGCGAGGAGGAGAAGGGGTCCGTGTCGCGGATCTACATCGGGGCGTCGTGGCCAATGCTCGGCGCGCAAGGCATGCTGCAGGCCGTGGCCGTGCTCCTGGCGGTGATCTCCTTCATCGCCTGCCTGCTCATCCTCCGCGTCCTCCAGAGGTGGCTGCAGAATAAGCAGCCCAGCCTCACCGAGCCCCTCTGCCCGAGGCCGTGTCCGAGGCTCTGCCTGAGGCCCGGCACCGGCAGCTGATGCTCTGACGCTCTCCCGCGCCCCGCACCGACTTTAGCGAGCAATTTATGTTAGGCCTGTGTCCATATTAATTTTTAGACAGTCCCCTAAAGACTGTCTCCACCAGAGGGCACAGTCCCCTCCCCCTCCTCACTCTCTCTCTATATAGCACAGAGCGGGCCCCCGAGTGTGTGGCTGGTTTCCCACACCTTAGATAAGAGCTAATATGGACCACGTCAGGCGCGGATTAAGGTCCGGCTGACAGCGGGGGAAGTGCACCGTCGTCGGTTGCCTACATGCAGGGTTTTTGTGGGGTAAACTGCCTACCTTTGGGTCCCTGGAACAAGCTACTGAGGCTGCTTAGGACCCGGCGCAACTCTCTGGCGTAGGAGGTCCTAGGGTGCTGAGGCAGAAAACATACCTTGCTATAGCACAGGAGTTCGTTGTGCTGTAGAGCTGCATTTATATCAAGGATCAGGTAGCTATTTTAATTCATGTTGCTTAAAAGTAAACTTATTAGTATATCTACAATATGTTTAAATAATTTCTAGTATCCTCCCCTCCTCTTCTCCCACAAATTAAAATGCATCATACTATAAATGTAAAGGGAGAGTTTTGTTCCTCAAATGGGAACGTTTTCGTGCACATCCAGATCGGATGCAATTTTGTTTCTAAAACTGGACAAATTTGTGTAAAGCTGCACACAATTTGTCTTGTTGTAGGAACAAAATTTAATCCTTTCTGGATGAGCACGAAAATGTTAATTCCTCTTTTAGAAACGAAATTGTCCCTTTACATTTAGAGTACCTATTCTTACAGTGACGTCTAAATGGTTGAGTTTACCTAGTAGAATTCAACTTGAGCAAACATATTCTCATATTATTCACACCACCTCCCGTTCACACTATGTTTGGTCTGCAAAAATATGTATATCACTATGAATTTAAATTATGGCACTTTTCTTCATACATCCATATCTTACAATCGTACGTTTACATGATGCTGTCTCCTGTTAAAAAGTTGAGCTGAATCTTTCAGATCAACTCTAGAAACAAACAAGTAAATGACAAAGAAAATGACACTAAAGTGAGCTTAAGGTTTTGAAAGTAAACCATAATGAACATCTAAAACTAGATCCCCCGTCTAACGAGCACATCGAGCTTCATACGGTGCGAAGTTTCTCTTGTGTAGTACTGTAACGGTTTGTTTCTTTTCTGCACTGACACGGAGAGGTACGCCATCATTAGACCATTTGAGCTTCTTCTTCCTCTTGCAGGTGCTGAATGTCCGTCTTGTTCATAAAGTAGTAGCTCGGTTGTCGCCCCTTCTGTAAAAGCACACAATAAAGCAAATTCGGTTTGGGATCTTTTTCCGACGAGACTTTAGATACCCATCTTCAAAAAACGCCTTAACTTTCACTCACCAGATCCTTGGGTACGCGCCAAGCGCCCGCCTTGATAAGGAGCTTGCTCAGGCTCTCCACGGCCTCGACCCCCATGGCGTAGTGCAGAGCCGTACGCTCCAGCTGTCGTCAACACAGAGTCAGAAGCAGCTCAAAACACTCAACGGCCACGACCAGGCTGTCCGACTCACGTTGTCGCCGACGTGCAGCGTGTCGGCAAAGTTGTGCGCCAGGTAGGCGACGAGCTGCTCCTGCTGACAGAGCACGGCGACGTGCAGCGCGCAGCGCCCCATGTTGTTCCTGGCCGTGGCCAGCAGCTTGGCCCGCGAGTCGGCGGGCTCCAGGATCTCGGCGACCTCCTGCGCACCCTGGGCGCCCCCCATGCGGATAGCGCGGAGCAGGCGGTCGCGCCGCTCCTGGCCGACGTCAAGTCCAATCAGAGCTCGCCCCAACCTCGAGCCCGGCTTGCGTCACATACAAAGTCTTACTCCCAGTTTACCTCGAAGGCCGTGATGCTCTGCAGGAAGGCGACCGTCTCTGTGTGGCCGCGCTGCTGGGCCACGTCCACGATGCCGACCTCGGGGCTCTCGCGGGCGTTGAGGATGTGGTCGTAGCCGGTCAGCAGCATCTCGGCCAGCTTGTCGGTCTGGCCGCGCGCGGCCACGGACAGCACCCAGCGGTCGATCTCCTCCACGTTGTCCGGCAGCCCGGCCTGCATGGCCACGTCGCGGGCGGTGCGGTACAGCTCGTCGCGCAGCGCGGGGTTCAGGTCCGCCTCCGACATGAACTGGAGGAGGCCGCCGCGGCCGTGCGGCCGGGCCGACGCGAAGTGCAGTGGCGACTGCCCAAACTCGTCCTGCGCAAAAGACAATCGCAAAAGTTAACTATCGTAGTTTCGCACACCTCCATTCCCATCCTTCCTCAGATATTTAATTTGCTCACCCTGTTGCCGTCTTTAAAGGCGGACGGCTTTGGGCCGGCGTCGGACGCCTGGGAGTCCGGGCGCTGGTTGTCGGCAAAGTCCTCGTTTCCGACGGGCTCGGCTAATCCGTTGGTGAGGACGGCCGCCATAACCTGCAAGCAAATAGGCGCGCGAAATTGCTGCTGTTCTTTGAGAGCGGGGCCGCCTGGCCGCCAAGCAGTCCCGTTACGCAGGGGTGCATTGCGGGCTGGCCTACCCCCGCGGGCGCCTACGCCACGTGCTTCTGCAGCTCCTAACTTACGCGGAGCGGGCAGAAACCAGCAAACCCAATACAGGGGAGATAGGCTTGTGATTTATCTGGGTTGCCCTGTTTGCTTTTATGGTGAGCCGCCTGGGAGGTGGTCAGTCCCGTAACGCTTACATGCTGTGCGGGCTGGCTACCCTCTCAGGCGCCTCCTCCTCTCCAGCGTCCGCAACTCCGTGACGCGAGCACCTGCCTTCTCCATACAGGCAATAAAAGCCCGCTCTTGAACCAAATGAATTGGTTTACGGGCGGTCGGCGCTAGATTGGCTGAGCCAAGCGGGCAGGGCGCCTAGGAAGTAGGCAGTCCCGTTAGGCATTGGTGTATTGCGGGCTGGCCTACCCCCGTAGGCGCCCCCTGTGAGACTTTCGTAGCTCGCTAACGTGGCACCTACATTGCAAACCACCCAGAAGAAAAAAAAACAGTTCTCTTGAGTGTAGGTCATTAGTAGGGACAATGCTTTTTCTTACCGAAACTTGTTTACGCATTTTATGTGTGTTTATAGTTAAAATGTATCACTGAAGTTTTACTTGAAGATTGCACTTCACACTTCAATCGTAATAAATTTCTCACCTATTTTCAAATTTGAAGTCTCGAAACCAAAACATTAAATTTCTTAAGTTGATGCCTTTTTTTGTTTAAAAATTTACCTGCGCTTCCCCTGGAGCCTCGGGGGCAACTTCGGTGCCGGTGAAGTTGTAGAGGAAGTTTGCCAAGTAGCCCACCGGGTCTCGTGGCTTCTTGTCGGCGATCTCGTTGAGGCCTTGCAGAAGGGGTTCTCCCAGCGCTGCCGGCATTAAAGGGACCATTAGAAAGTAAATCTCGGCGGTCAGAATTTTAATATATTGTAGATAATTACAGATCAAAACGGGGATTAGGGTTAACATAACAGCTTAGAAAGCTGAAAAAAAGGTTGTTTTTTTTTTCATTCGCTCTAAACACCGCTCGCCTAGCTTGACAAAATGTTGGCACTCCTTTTGGATATTGCCAAATCTTGGCCTTTGAAGCGGCCAAAAGTTGGCCTTGTTATAAAAGTAGGATTTTTAGTTTTGGGCCAAAAGACGGCCAAAATTCGACAATCAGAAGTGCGTGCCAACATTTTTAGCTAGCTAGGCGACTACGGCGTTTAGAGTGTTCATCCTTTTCATTCAATATGGCCGCTACACACACTGGCTTTGTGAATAAGTGCAAGAAAATGTGTTCATTGGACTCAAAATCATTTACCCAGAAAACTTGTCACATTTTTTTGTGCCAAGTGTAGTACAAGGCACCGCGGAAACTCACCTGTTGCGAGATATCTTCCATCCTCGCTGCCAAACAAAGTGCCAAGCTTTGGGGCGGCCTTAGTCAATGGGTCTGGAACAGGAGGAGAGGGGCGTGCGCAGGGCGTCAAAACACAAGTCGTCTACCTGCGGGAAGGGTTGAGAAGTATAGGGGAGGGGCAGGTCGCGTGAGCCGGCGAGGACAAGGAGGTGGTGTCGGTGACTGTTACCCGAGTCATCTTCCCTCTCCTCCTCCACCAGAACGCTGTCCGCTATGGCGACGGGGTCGTCTTTCGGGGCGTACTTCTCGGCTCCCTGCATGTCGGACGGGGTCTGCCCCATGATGAGGGGCAGCGGCTAGTCCTAGGCCACAACGCGGCCGCGCCCGGAGCCCGCGGCGGGCCCAAGTGCAGCGCGCTGCCACGTCAGTCAGTCCTGGCACTGAGTGACGGGCCGTGCGACGGCAGCGGACTATCTGCTCGCCTCATCATCACGATCATCTTTGACTTTTATTCATCGACAGATCGTACTCTCGAAATAACTGCAGTATAGAGTCCCCGAGAGTGACGGCGACCGTTGGCGTCGCAGAGGATCGTGGCCGTGGGAGGGAGAGTTGTAACCGACAATTGACGTGTTTTGTTGTTTTGTTTTCCGATTTTCGTGAGCAGCAATGCCCTACTTTCATGAGGGGAAGTGGTCACGCGTGTCCGTCGGCGCGCGCTGTGCGGTCGCACATCGACCACCGCGACCGGGAATCGGCTGCGTCGCCCACCTGGCCTCGCTGCCCCGCTGCTACCACCGCCACCGCGAGCCCCGACATCGGCATGGGCATCAAAGTTTCATCCCCATCAGACTCGGGAGACGCCCCGACGCCCTGATGGGCGGGGCGGACTGGGCCGCGGGCCACGCCACCTGTCCCTGTCGCGCCCAAGGCCAGCGGACGCCAAGGCCGGCCGACCGGCTGCGGCCCGGAGGAAAGGGCAAAGTTTGGGCAAATACAAGTCAAATCGGAGCCCGTGTCCACTTCTGCTAACGAAGTTCAACCGGACGCGAAGGCGGACGGGGGAAATAAGTACCGACCCGGCGCGTGGTGGGGGGAGAAGGGCAGCGGGAGGCAGGGAAACAACTCCCCCATTCGTCATTCCTCCCTATCGGGGGTTGTCAGCCAGCACTGTTCATGTTCAACACTTAGGACCCTAAGCGACACAACAAGTGAAACTTTTAATTCCAACGATTTGTCTGTTCCCTCTTTACGGCGCGCAGGAGGATGGCGTATGGTGCGGCTCGCGAGACAAAAATAGTGGAACTAGCGGGGTGCGCCTCGGCGCTCCTGACGAGGCAAGAAAAATGAGGTCTGAAAATAATTTAGTGTAAAGTTTAAACGATTTCACAATTTCACTTAACACTAGAAAACGTTACTGTGATTTGCTATAATATTGTCTTTAAAAACAACAAACATCCTAAAGAAGATTTTGTTAAACTATAACACATTTGACATATCATTCTTATTAATTTCAGTTGTTTGAAATGTTCAAAGTTTCAGTTACAAATGTTGCATCTGCTAAAAATTTATCAAAAAACATCGTCTGAAAATTTGGTGAATCTCCGCAGGTATTTGCGAGTTAACAGAGAGCAGGGGGGTCGCCCTCGCGGCGCTTTACGTACGCTGCAGCAGCTCGTCGATGACGGCCTGGAGGTCGGCCTCCTGCATGTCGAGGAGGGGCGCGCGGGAGCCGCTCGGGGGCCGGGTGGTGCGCGGCCGGCGGGTGTGTGTGTCGTGCCTGGTGACCGCAGTCCGGCTCGGCTTGAATTGGCCGCCGCCGCACCTGTGCCGCGCGCCGTCGGTGCGGCCCCCGGCCGGCAGGGGGCGCAGCAGAGGGACATATAGGTCGATTCGATTCGCCCATCGATTTACACGAGCCTTTTACGGCCTTCCCTGCTGCGCTGGCGGGCTTTACCACCTCCTGCCCGAACGCACGCCTGCACGCACGCACCTCGACACAGTGAGGGGTGCAGCGGGCGGCGGCGGCGGTATGACAAATGGCGCGCCCGCCCACACGAGGGCCATCCATCTAGCCATCCCCGCCTCCCTGACCGAACGTCGCGCACCCCGCGCGCCGACCGAACGTCGCACCGCGCGATTTCTCATCGGCACGACCCTCATCCATCCCGCACTTCTACCCCTTCCGGGCAGCTGCTCGTACTTTTCGTTTTTTTTCTCCCAACCCTCCCTTCCTCTTCCTAGTTATTTTCGTTATTTACTTTTTCCTATTCGTCTTAGCGTGCGCGCCCGTGCTCCATGCGCCATGCGGCGGCCTTTACCTTTGCACTTTGGGTGTCCGTGTCCGGCACTGCGCGGTCGCCCGTGGTAGTCTCTCGTGTCGCGTTAATAATGGAGCCCAATGATTCACTTGACTCATCTAACTCCAGGAAGGGGGTCGGGCCAAGGGAGGGGTGAGGGGTATAGGTGGACACTACTGGCGCGTTAGCAGCGTGGTCGATATCCGCCCGGGTAGCTACAACAAGTGACATCCCCAGGTAAATGAGGGTTATATATGCTTCATATATAATTATATATGTTCTGTATATGGTAATATATGTCCTTATATATGACCACATATATGACCATATATTACTATATATGGATTATAT